ACAAGAGGTCAGTATTTACTATCTATTTAAATTGACCATATCCCTTTTAAGGCATACTTATCATAATACAAAATATGTCATGGCTGCTATATCCTTTCCAAGATTTTACCACATTATCATAATCTTAAAGACCTTGATCACAAATAATCGAAAAGGTGGGGCGTGCCATTCTTTTGTGGCACATGTGGGCACCCACCCACATGCCACATGGTGGGCCCATGTGCACTTTGGCCCCCATGGGATTTTATAAAAAGTTTTAAAAATAAAACGAATTAACATATATATATATATATATATATTTGAATTTTTACAACTTTGTAAAATCTATAACTGTATTTTTATAAGTCCAAATATCATAATTAAAATATTGAGATATTTATAAAAATTCAAATAATAACACTAAAATCATTTCAATTATAAAATGAACATAATTAAATTAATATGATGAGGAAAAGATCCATATGATTTTAGAAATTCAATATGTAAATATGAGGTACTCCACAAGCTTTATCTAACTGACCCCACAAGCTTTATCTAACTGACCCAGTGTTTCCCAATGACCCACAGTCCAAGCAGGGGCTCATTAGCGCGTCACCAAAGTTAGGTCAATGAATCAAGGGGTCGTAATCCCAATCTGTGGATTACAGGTCATCCCCAATAGATGAGTCAAGGTCACCACGACTTGATGTGACCACAACTCTATGGTGCATAGGGGTATCTCTCGCACATGCATACGCTTTACTAAAAGGTGGATATCTGGCTTTATCGAACGATCTATCAATATGCATGCCGTGCGATGGAACATGGATGAAATTTTGGTCCCCGTCTCAATAGGCCTACCATCATACACAAGGGTCACACAGTCCCTCGGCTCACTCATCTAGGCATAAGCTCCAACCTCATCAAGGGCTAACCCAAAACCCTCTTCGGTTAATTCTTTATGCCCAGGTACTTTGGGTTTTCCAACCGACTGGCTCAGATTGATAAGCACAATCTGGTATAAGCAAACATCATTCGCTTAATATGGTCCTCGAGAGACCACACTCATAAAGCTTTTAAAAGCTACATAAACCTAACAAATGTGTGTTGGATCAGTTTCAATAGAGACTAGGAAAATATCTGACACACTTTGTGCCTGACTGGCTTCATTACTTATGATGAAGGCAATCTGGTGAAATATGTGTTTATTGAATTCAATAGGGATAAGAAGCCAGTTCGCAACACTATGTGCCAGACCGACTTCTGGTCCCTAGTGAAGCAAGTCTGGTTATCGTGTGTCGGACCAGCTTCATTGTATAAAATGAAGGGAAACGTGGGTTTAGAGGAGGCTTTTTTATTGTTAAAGAAGTTATTTTTTTTACTTGAGGATTGGATGCAAAAGAAACAATTTTAGAATGATAAAGTTTTTATAATGCGTAGATTTTATGAAAACAAAATAAAGTTTCACCTCGAATCCTCTTCCGGAAACCACTTTCGATAGTGAAAATCACTAATGATGGCTCTATAATTAATTTCCAACACCTACAATAAAATCTGAAACTTACAAAATGATACAGATCTTGCGGATCTTTAAATACTTATTTTTAAGGTGAAATGAATGATTTAAATAATTTATTATAATATATATTATTTTTAAACCTTAAAACCCTAATTCTTTTTTACAGGGTGGGGTGCCTCGAAAGAGTAACTGGGGAACGGCAATTGCCACTGTTACACGAGGGTGTGGTCCCACGCTATTACGGATAAGAAAATCATGCTCTGTTCTACACGGTGGAATGGTTTTTCTATAGGGTGTTGTTTGTATAGAGCCGAGGTTCTAAACAATCAAATTAGAACCTACCTTCAAATAGTATTGAGAAATATAGTTTCAATAGCGAAAAGTTTTGTGATAGCATAAAATATATTTTCATCTTTAGTTATAAAATTTGAAGCTTCAAAATTAGTATAAATGGATGAGATCTATAAAAACTTGAAAATCTTGAAAATTGAGGGTTTAAAAATGCATTATACGCATTATTTCCAAAAATTGAAATCAATTTTTTTCTCATATCCATGCATCTTGATATCGAGATGATCAATTTGATGTTTTTTGGACATCAAAACAACCTCTTCTAGTGAAAGTTTTTAGGTAGACTCTAATTTGATTGTTTACAGCCTAGGCTCTATACAAATTTTTCCCTTTTTTTTATTGAAGTTTACTGTATGTTACAAATTAAAAACTCATATAATAAAAAATAGATAAATGGTTGAAAAGTATATAAACAACAAATACAAAACATATTAATATAATATCTAGGGAAAATTAAGTAAATAAATTACATTTACCCAAATTATTGCTATTTCCATATCCGCAAATTTGACTTGTCATGGTTATTTCTCTCCCAATAAACTTTATTAACTATAAAAGGAATGAGACTATGACGATCTGGATTGGCTATATAGGACGATCCAGATCAATCAATACAACTGAAAATTGTAAAATAAAAAATAAAAAAAATACAAATAAGTATGGGTGTCTATGAGTCGGCCGACTCATATGTACACTACGCCCCTGTTAAAATTCATCTTAAAGTTGGATTTTTTATTTAAAATTTTAGAGATTCATCATCTAAGCCAAGTTGATAAAAAATATAAAAATAAAATAAAATAAACTTTAAAATTTATTTTTTATGGGGACATTTTTATCACTTTCCATATCTGATTTGACCCTATGCGGTTTACACACCATCCATCTTAAAAATGGACATTGAAGAGTCAATGGGCTCTTGCAGCCGCTGACACAAAGAGCACTTCTAGTAAAAATAAAGCTGTTTAGATCATTTTCCCAACTATAACATGTTTGTTTGATGACAAATCATTTATTAAGGTGATTGTAGAAGGACAATAATTTTAGAGCGAATAGAGCCGACACACGCGCTGGAGGGTTAATCGGACATGGCCTATAAGCGGTTCAACCGTAAACCGGATTGTTCAATTGCTTTGATAGGGCAAGTCCTGAATGATTAAAAAAAGTGCTATAAAATATAATTTTTTTTTATAAAATATGAAAAGTATATTTTAAAAGAGAAAAGTTATGATTAAAAAAAGTGCTACAAAATATAATTTTTTTTTTTTTATAAAATATGAAAAGTATATTTTAAAAGAGAAAAGTTATGATTAAAAAAAGTGCTACAAAATATAATTTTTTTTTATAAAATATGAAAAGTATATTTTAAAAGAGAAAAGTTTATATAAGGTTGCAACCATAAAATATAGAATCACAGATGCACCTCAAAAATATTTCCGAAATGTTGTTTTAATGTTGAGAAAACACTCTAGTCGATCATCTCGACATCGAGATATATGAATATGAAAAAAAAGAAGTTTTGGGAGTCCTAGAAATAGTGCATCTTGCAACAATTATCTAGACCGTCCATTTTCAATATTTTCATATATTTATAGATCTACTTTATTTTAACCATTTTTTAAATTTAAAATTTTCTAATTAGGTATGAAAATGGATTTTAATATAATACTAAAAAAATTTTACAACAAATTATATGTTAT